GATCTGGCCAATTGCTTGTAAATCCTCTCCAGAGATGAGACCATCAAAAGTTGAAAAATCCCACGATCGACTAGTCTGATCAATGAGTTCAAAAACAGACCTGAGATCCTCAATAGAACCGTGAATGCAGCCTCCAGACTTTGTTGGGATCCAAGGATCCTGAAAGACCTTTTTTGAACGTCCATTGCCAATGACACGAACAACTCCCAAACTCATCCAACAAGAGACATCAAACAGGCTTGCCCAAATCCAGGAGGCCCTACTCCCTTTGCGAGCCTCGCGAAAGCCATAATTTGAAAAGTAAAGCCTTTTTAGAAGGCTAACCCAAAGTGCATATGGAGAGAATAGGATATGCCAGGCTTGCTTTGCAAGCAAAGCAAGGTTGTAGATGTGAAAATGTCGGAAACCAATACCTCCCTCCTCCTTTGGTGCGCCCGCCGGCCACCGATGGATGGTCTTTTTTGAAGTGGATCCTGACCAATAGAATCTTTTTAGCATACCATCCATCCTATTGGTCTTAGATTTGGGAACAGGAAAATGGATATCATATAGGATGGAATAGCTTGGAAGACAGACTTGAGCAAGATTTCTTTTCCACCAGGGAAAAGAAGCAAACTTTTCCCATTCTCTACTTGGTTGTCCAACTTTTCCAGCAGGAACTTAAACATTTCTTTCTTGGATCTACCCCAGGACGTCGGGACACCCAAGTATTTAGAGTGAGAGCACTCATCATTGAAGTTCAACAATGCCTTGATATCTTATCGTTCCATTTCAGAAACATTGTAGCTGAAGAAAGCAGAAGATTTGTTAGTGTTTATCTCTTGCCCATTAAGGGCCCCATACTCTCTGATCACATTCAACAGGTGAGAAGCTTCCCCCTGAGAAGCCTCCCCAAAAATGACGGTATCATCAGCGAACAGGCAGTGAGTAAGTCTTGGGCAATTGTTGTTCACTCTGTGACCTTTGATGTGATTTCCTGTGATGGGCTTCTTAATGAGGAAAGAGAGGGCATTCGTCATCAAAATGAAGTGGAGGGGATACAAGGGATCTCCCTGGCGAATACCTCTTGTTGGAACGAAAGAATCAAAGGGGATACCATTGAAAAGAACCTTGAAACCAACGATAGAGTCATAGAGAAGCATTCTTTAATCCAGCTACACTAGGTAGGGCAAAAGCCATAGGCCTCAGGAGATTGAAAAGGCACAACCACTCCACGAGATCATAGGCCTTACGCATGTTAAGCTTGAGCATCATATTCTTTTTGTGACCTGTCGTGTGCTTCTTAAAATGGTTAAAAACTTAAATTGTCCTGGATCTATCTTCCTCCTGTAAAAGTAGCCTGGAGCTCTGAAATTAGGAAGGGCATCCAGACCTGTAGCCTTGTAATAACTTTGTAACGAAAATTACAGCAGCTGATAGGTCAAAACTGTCCAAGGGAGTCAGGAGCGTTAGTCTTTGGTATGATGGTGATGAAGTATCATTCCATCCATCAGGCAGCTTAGCATCCTGAAAAAATCTCTTGATTTCATCACATAATTGATCTTCACACACATTCCAAAACCGACAGAAAAAATGGCCAGAAAAACCATCCGGACATGGGAATTTCGAAGGGCCCATGGCAAAGACAGCTCTCCTAATCTCATCATTTTCTAGTGGTTCGGTGAGCGTCATGTTCATCTCATCATGAACCAACTGAGGGAACCCACTTAGATCAAAGCTCAGTGAGTTTGGATCCTTAGCAGTAAACAGATTCTGGTAGAAAGTGGATGCCCACATTCTAAGCGATGGTTGATCCTCAATCCATTCCCCTTGGTCATTCTTCAATCTTAAAATTATGTTCGAAAATATTATTTTGATACAAGAGGCATGGAAAAAGAAAGTGTTTTGGTCTCCTTTTTGAAGCCAACTGACTCTAAAAACCTGTTGCCAATACTCCTCCTCCTTTTCCCATATCAGATTCAGCTCATTCAACAGTGTTGTCTTTTCCTCGCCATGGTGACTGTCATCATTCAACTTCTCAATATGTTCAATCCGTTTTTTTATCTCCACTCCCTCTTAACAACAAGTCTACGCTTCTCTTTTGCCCACCTTCCTAGTTGATGTCCACATTCATCAAGGATACTACTCCGATCGCCCCCTCGATTCCAGGTGCTCGTGATGATGAGGTTGCAGTCCTCTTCAAATCTCCACATTTTATCAAATCTGAATGGTGATTGGGTTCGGTCCTCATGCAGATTCAGGTCAACTCAAATGGGGCGGTGATCTGATTCAACAAACATCTCATGAAAAACACTAGCTTTATCAAAGTGTAACCCCATGACGTCGGGCACAAAGCGCGATCCAACCTTTCCATAATCAAATTACTTCCACTTTGCATATTCTTCCACGAGAAAACCGACCCATTGAATCTCAAATCAACCAACCCATTCTGCTCAATGAAGTACTTAAACGGAGCCCTATTCTCATTTCTTATCGGGCACCGCCCTTGTTTTTCGAAATCACACAACTCTACATTGAAATCTCCTACAAGCAACCACTCCTCCTCTTGGCTCTCCCTCAAGTGGGTGAGGTGATCCCAGAGAGCACGTCTCTCTACCACCGTGGTAGGAGCGCGAACAAAAGTACAGAAGAATTCCCTATTCTCCCAATTAATACATACATCAATGTAAACTTGAGAAGTGTCAATCACCCTGATTGAAACATCTTCTCTCCACCACAGCGCCAAACCACTACCACCTACACTAGAATTAACATACTCCTTATTTGAAAATTTCAACCCTTCCCTTTTTCCTTTCATGAAGCTTTCTTCTTGTTTCGTCTCCATAAGAAACAGGATTGACGGCCCAAATCTGCGAAAAAAGTTCTTGCAGTAGCGTCTTGTAAGGATTGGCCAAATCCTCTACAATTTCAGCTCATGAGCCTCATTCCTGAGGAGGTGGCTTAAGGCTCACCACCACTGCCCTCTAGTTCGGACTCTGCCCTTCCTCGGCTTGATTCCATTCTGCCATGATTGCTGTCAGCCTCCTTCGCCGGTAAACTTGTTTCTTCTTTGCCTTCCCATGCTCTCCCTTTCCTGGATTAAACACAAGAGAATCAACACTCATGTTCGTAGATGATGAAATCTCCGGCGAGATTGTCTCTGTCGTCGTTTGCTGGTCTGCTTTCTTTTTCTTTGTTGTGCTGGCAAGGTTCTCCTCACTTAGGAGTCCAGTAATCAGTTGGACCGCATACTTGGCCTCCTGAATTATGGATCCCATAATGCTCAACTGTGGAGGAGTTTTTGTGGTCTTTGGGCTAGCTTGCTGAACGGTGTCACTTGGCCCAGCTAGTGAGAGTTGCTGGCCCATCTCCAGAAGCCCCAACTGGTCCTGGTCTCTCTCCTTCTCCCCCGTTTCTTTGCTCCCAATGGGCTCTTCATCATTTAGCAGCAGACTGGTTTGTAAAGCTTCCGTCACCTTCTCCGGATCTTCCTCAAGCCTATGTGGTTGGTAGTAGTTGTCTAGAACTTTTTCTGATCCCCATGGAATATAAGTTGGGCCCCTGGGATTGCTGAAGAAAGCCCCCCTATACAGGTTCTCGAAACCCGGTGGGCAATAAATATGCAGACTGCGGTTGGTTGGTGCCTGAGTCAACTGGGCTGACACCTCCTGACCTCCTCGGATTTCGAACCCTCTCCTCTTACTTTCTTCCATCTGCATGGCGAGGCGGCGCCGGAATGATGCCGGTGAGGTGTTCGTTGGTGAATCATGACCCGCTTTCAGAACTGCCATGTAGACCTCCGACGCCTCAGTGTTGAATCCCTTCCTTCGACATTCTTCTCTTGTCAAGCAATTTTGTATCAGATGTCCTAGATTTTCACAGAAATAACACAAATCAGTGATTCTCTCATATTTAAAGCTCACCCATACTGACCTTTCCAACTGGGGTACTCAAACCCGATTGGGATTGAATCCTCAATCTTGACCTCCAATTGAGCTCTGATGAACTTCCTCCATCCTCTGTGTTCGATGTTGGATCTATCAATTCCATGGAATTGTGGGAACACAAAAGAAGCTACTGATTCGATGGTTGCTTCGTGCTTCATTGACAGGGGAAGGTCGTGCATTTGCATCCACATAGTAACTGCGGAGAAGTCCACATCTTTTGCATTCCCCTCTCCATCCCATTTCTTGACTGCCACCAGGGTATTTCCTATGTTCCATGGTATGTTCTGGATAATCTCTATGTGCCTCTGTTTCGAAAGAGTAGACGAAGAGGTTGTCATCTTCATGATTGTGACACCCCCCGCTTAGATGGTGCCTGAAGGGTGGCCTTGTATTTTCCTTTTTATAGCCAAACCAGGCTTGAGAAGTATGCCTAGTGGGTGTCATTTCACTCTTAATGCTTCCTCTCTTGGATGTCTGGCAAGTCCAGAGATCCTTATGCAGATGGAGATCCCGGCTTACATGGGTGATTTGTTGATTTGGACGGCTATCCTTCTCTCCTTCTCTGTCTGTGAGAGAATTAATGGTGATAAGGGTAGTGCTCTCTGTTGTTCCACCTCCATGCAGGTTGCGACTAGAGACCCAACTCAATCTATATTTTATGAGTTGGTTTGTTAATGATGCATATAATTATTAAATTGTATATATAACCTCATATGGTAATTAATACATTGAGTATATGTAAGCAAATACGTCTCATATATGCCATAACATTATGTGATTTATATGCCATAACATTAGGTAATCACAGATATCACATATGACATAAATATTAAGGTATTTATATTATAAATTATCTTAGAATTGAGGTTGAGCCAAACTTTCAATCTTAATGATGTGTCAAGATTTAATCAATAAATTGACTCGTATTTAACTCGACTCAGCTCGTTTTATACAAGACAAAGCTCGGCTCATTAACGACCCTACCCTCGACCTACCTAAGGGCATCCTACCCTCCAACTAGCCTGTCTCCCTTTGCTTTGAGCCTTTGCCAAAACCGTTCACGACGAACTATCGTTTTGAACTACTGGCGCAATAAAACGGCTTAATGACATTACACTGATGGCCCAGAGACAGAAATACTTCAATCGACAAGGCAACTCATGAGTCATGATAAACTAAATTAACCACAAGAAACAAAATTCAGGGTCATGCCAGTTCCTGAAGTACATCACTTGTCCCTGCGTACATAAACTAAAGACTGATGCCAACATACATGATAAAACCAGTCAAGGCCAAAGCAAGAGTAACAAACAAAAGTACAGAACAGCACTCTCCCACCAAGTGAACCACATTGTAATCAAGGCTAAATTAAACACACTTCTGAGTTCTGACTACGAGGAAAACAAAACAAAACCTGGTGGACTAGAACTCAGCGGCAGAGATGACATCGTCGATCTTCAGTATCATCTTGACTACCTGTGTTGCAAGCAAAACCTGCTGCTGCTTCCCTATCAAGGTCTCGAACACGTTCTGCTCACGCATGTCCGTCGTCCCAACGTCATTGCAGTCAATACCACAGTGGGGGTTGTTCTCCTGCATCACCCGCGTAGGTATATTAAGGGGAAATTTAAGATCGCGGCAATTGTGTAAACGGTAGGTGATGTACCGTAGAAAGCTATAGAGAAATGTTTATCAAGTTACCTTGATTTGCTGGGACTTCACAGCGGATAGAGTCTCAATGGGTTGTAGTCCACTGTTTTCTGCTAGTGCCATAGGGATAGCGTCCAAAGCATCTGCGAATGCTCGAATGGCATACTGAAGTAGGAAAATTAAAGCTATTAGTATATAGGAGAAAAGAAGAAAAACAAGTTCTGTGAAGGGAGGAGGAAATGGCAGCCCACCTGCTCAACTCCAGGATATCTATCCGCGGCAGCTTCTACAGCAATTGAGCAAGCAATTTCAGCCGAGCCACCACCGTACACGATGGAGTTGTTGCGGATGAGATTCCTTGCAACGCACAGAGCATCGTGGATGCTTCGCTTGGTCTCTTCTATCATCATCTTGTTACCTGGTTGAGCATCAAGTAGGAGTATTTAGGAAATCAGTATGGCTCAGAAGAATGATAAAGGAAAGGAATAATAGGAGCCAACAAATATCCTCACCCCCACGGATGAAAACAGTAACGGCCCTGGAATTTGCACAATGTTCAATGTACAGCATTCTATCTTTTGTGGTGCCGAAGGATTTCTCCCTGACCAAACCAGCCTGCAGAATTGATGGCATAAATGAGGAAGAAGTTCAAGAAATCAAATCAGTCCATGGTTTCAGGTTCCCTATTCAGACTTGTGCAATCCATAGCAAGCAATGTCCCAAATGAAAAACATACCTTTCCTAGCTTCTCAGCTGTCAACTCCTGGAATCTTGGAACAATCCTGCCACCTATACGCGAAGAGAGCACGGTTTGTCAAAAGCAATGTACATTACACAAAAACGATAGAATAGCTTGTGAAGAATTCTGAAGAAACACTCAACCTGTGGCAATGGCTATCAGCTCTAGCTCCACTCCACCAACCCAACGTACTGCAGGAAGGTTTCTGTGCATCAGCAAATGGTTTGCCTCATCGTCAAATCCCCACTGGCAGATAACCAGAGTTGCACCAACATCCTGTTACATCAATTTCCGGAAAGAAAGTTTGTAACTACTAGATAAGATGAGCAATTCCCTCAACCAAAGCTACATGATGCTTCTAACTGGACAAACAACTATACCTTGCACTGTTGAACCATATCATCGAAATACTGGTGCTCTTGCCTGCGTAGAGCCTCAAACTTCTCTACTGTGTCAATGTCCACCTTATGCTTGGTCTTTGGCTTCGGGGGTTCAAAGGGACATGTCAAAATAGCAATGTTTGCATCTTGAATTTGCTTGGGCATCTGTGGGTGACTCATGTCCTTGTCAACAACAATTCCATAAATCAGTTCAGTATCTTCCAACTTCCCACCAACCTTCCCATCAACTTTTATCAAGTCCAAGTTCACATCTTTCCTTTCTAAATCTGCCACAGCAAGGACGGCCTTAACAGAAATCTCGGCCAACTGGCGCTTGCATCTGTTCACTCTGCAAAAACAAAGACACGAAGAAAATTCAAGAAAAGAACCTTACCTTTCCTAGCATTTAAAAAGCTATAACATTCCTATACGAACACCCATGATAGCAAGAAGAAACCGTAACCAAACTGATTTTCAAGCAAAAGAAAAAGAATCAGCTTTGGCCAGTTACTTACATCTTTGAAGATAAAGTAGTCATGCAAGTCTGAACAAGCGACTCTATGTTGTTCTCTCCAAATTCGAACTTGTGAGCAATACGCTCCAAATGCTCAACAGCTATTCTAGACGCAAGCTCATATCCCTCTGCAATTCGAATGGGATGAATCCCACGCTCTAGCAACTTCTCAGCTTGCTCGAGAAGGCTTCCAGCCATGACCACAACACCAGTAGTCCCATCACCGATCTCATAGTCCTGACTCCTAGATAGCTCCACCATGAGCTTGGCGATTTGATTGTCTACATCCATCTGCTCCAAGATTGTCGCACCATCATTGGCTGGAAACAGAAGAAGGAAAAAAAGACTCTGTCAAGCAAAATAATCGTGTGCAACCAAGAAAAGAAATCCTATCACATCAAATCAACTTCTATTCTAGCTCAAACTCCAACGGCCTCCAGTCACTAACAATGATCCACAGAGATCCGCGAACGAACCTTAAACCCTGAGCTGCTATTCGAAGAGAAGTAGGCATACACGAAACAAAGACGCGCGCAAACACACGACTACGACAATCAAATCAGCGGATCGGAAGAAGGGAAAAGCGAAACCCCAAGACCCTATGCAATCTAACTCGATAGCGGAACTAGAAAGCGAGAAGAACGAGCGAAGCGAGGACAAGGATACTCACTGATGGTGACGTCACCGTCGGGGCTGGAGAGCATCTTGTCCATCCCCTTGGGACCGAGCGAAGTGCGGAGGATCCGAGCGACAGACCTACCGGCGGAAATGTTGGCCTTCTGCGCATCGAGACCTCTCAATCGAGTCTTCTGCTCCTGCTCCTTGATTATGATGAACGGGCGCCCGTATTCGTCGAAAGCTAGCGCCATTTTTCCGGCGGCGCTTCCTTCTTCTTGGTTTCCTGCGCCGCTTCAACGGCGACGACGGAGCTGCGAGTGTTGGAGAAGAGCAGAAAAGGGAAGATTGTAGAAGGTGAACAAACCAGTTGAGTAGCAGTAGAGCTTAAGCTTCCTCTCTACTTCGTCCATCGGCCATTTTGAAGCCCTAACCCGCCGACGTTCCTGGGTCGGGCTCTAGGATCCGAAAAGTTGGTTAGTGGACTTAACGAGCCCAAGTGTTGCTATAGTCAAAGCCCCAGCTTAGCTGGAGCCCAATCTTTATCTTGCTTTATGTCATATTATGGGAATTTGCTACGGTGACATGCATGTCATGGTGACATGCACTTTTCGGTCGACCTTATATAGGATAAGGTCGACCTAATCTGTTGTTTCAGTGTAAAAACAGTTTCATGGTGCCTACTTTGGAGATTCATATCTTACAATTGGGTAGATGGAAATTGGAGATTAAAAGCTTGTTTTGAAGCTGAAGTGTCCCTCTACACATTAAAATACTTGGAAGCTCAATAGAAAGTCCAGAAGACTATTTTTGAACCTGACCAAAAGGCTATGCCAAAACTGGGAAACTGCCTGAAAATGGCTAAGTCTGCCAACGTGTTTGTCAAGCCTACTTTGGAGATCAGTTTGAGAAGCATGGATGCGAGTCAAGTCCAGGGGCCTCTACCACGTTAAATTACGTATTTTTTTATACAAAGGCAAGGAATTGGATGAAAGATTGAATATCTTTAAGCCTTCAAACAAAAGGCTCGAAGTTGCTACGAAGTCTGTTTTTCTGGCAGCTTGCTTGTGCTCGAAGTCTGCCAGAAAAACAGCCTTCGTAGCAACTTCGACCCTTTTGTTTGAAGCCTTACATATATCCAATCTTTCATCCAATGCCTTGAATTTGTATAAAAACATACATAATTTAACGTGGTAGAGGCTCCTGGACTAGACTCGCATTCATGCTTCTCGAATTGAGCTCCAAAATAGGCTTCACAAACACGTTTCCTGACTTAGCCATTTCCAGGAAGTTTCCCAGTTTTGGCATAGCCTTTTGATGAGGTTCAAAAATGGTCTTCTTGACTTCCTATCGAGCTCTCAATCACTTCAATATGTAGAGGGACACTCCAGCTTCAAAACAAGTCATTAGTCTTCAATTTCCATCTAGCCAATTGTATGATATGAATATCCAAAGTAGGCACCATGAACTGTTTTTACACTGAAACAACAAATTAGGTCGACCTGATCCTATATGAGGTCGACCGAATCCTAAATGAGGTCGACCAGATCCTATATGAGGTCGACCGAATTCTAAATGAGGTCGACCTAATCCTAACTGAGGTCGACCGGAAAGTGCAAGTCACCATGACATGAATGTCACCGTAGGCACACCCCATATTATGTGTCCCATTTATTTATTTATTTTTTTTTTTGAAAGGTGTGTCCCATTTAATTTTGGAATACTCCAAAATGATAATAATTTTAGGCAAGCACAATTAATTAATAGTTTAGGAAATAAACTCCATATCAAAAAAATTGCTCCGAGATTTGCGGAGCCCGGAAATCTTAACTAGGGTTTTTTTGTTGCGACGATCGGTCTGTATGTCGACGGCAATTAGAAATGGCAATGGGCAGGTCCGGGGTAAGTTTCTTGGTACTCAAACCCGCCTCGTGGCAGGGCGGGTCCAGGTCGGGTAATTGATCACGGGTCGCGAGTCGGGGCAGGTCGACCCAATGGGTATGCAATTTATTTGAAAAACATTAGAAATATTCGTTATTTTTATTATAAAACTAAGAAAATAAAAAATATTATGACAATTGTAGTTAAATTATTGGAGAAATTAAGGTTTTCACTAATTGAGGTCCCACCTTCCTTTTTGCAGCACATGGCACTTTCACAAAAAACGCCTAATATTCAGCCAACAACTCACGCTTAACATGCACACAAGCTCATGCCCATCTCGCGATCCAACAGCTTAACGCATATAGCTCACAGTTATGGCCTACATATTAGCACGCTCAGCAATGGGCTAGTGGGGAAATCTCAAACGACTTGAGAGCTCTAACTCAAGACATCGAATGTTAAGCAAAGAAGCAAAGACGATGGCCGCACAAGGGGCAAGCCGCATCGTCCAAACTCGCAAAGGTCCAATCCACCCGGGGGCGTCCATCACCGGCAGACATACTGTCACCTAGAGGCGTCCATCACTGGGAGGCGGACGTCCACCGGGAGGCGTCCATCACCAGGGGCATCCATCACCGAGCAATGGCCGCACGAGGGGCAAAACCGCATCGTGCGGACTCGCAAGTAAGGCAGGTTAATACACCTTAACGCATTATTTTACTCCTTCCATTCTTGCAGAATACAAGAAGCAAAGGGGCAAATGTTGGGTCTAGTATTAACCCGCCTAATACGGGCCCAAGCCCACCACAAAGCGTCTCACCTTGGGCCCAAGCCCATTCTGGGGTCCAGTACACCGGGAGGCGTCCAGTCCACCCAGGGGGTAGGGATGGCAACAAAACCCGAACCCACGAGTACCCACCCGACCCAACCCGGTCAACGCGGGTAAAACCCGTGTTGACGGGTTTTGGGCCGGGTTTGGGTTTAAACCCGCTACACTATTTACCAGGTCGGGTTGAGTTTGAGTTTAGGTAAACCCGACCCATGGGTACCCGCCCACACACATAATTACTTTCCCGGTATATTTAATATTCTAAATAATATATCTTCCTTAAACAATTAATATTCTTTATGTTTATGAAGTGGAGAGTGAAGAAACTTAGTTAACGAGGAAGAAGCTTTCAACTAATCTTTTGTTTATAGATGTTTATCTTCAATTTTGAACAATTTGTATTTATCATTTGCGGTTTGCTTGTATGCTCTAAATTGGTGTTTTTTTGTATGATTAATTTGTATGAGAAAATTGATGTTAAACTTTTATTTTGAAAGAAACTTGTTATTGTAAATTTTTTACCACAAAAACCCACGGGTACCCATGAACCCGCGGATACCCAGCGGGTTGGGTTGGGTTTTGAGTTTTTCAAACCCAACGGGTTTTACCCCGGGGTTTTTTGGCGGATAAACCCATGGGTTTGGGTTTGGGTTTGACAAAACCCGCCCCAACCCGACCCATTGCCATCCCTACCAGGGGGCGTCCATCACCGGGAGGCGTCCAGCCTACCTGGGGGCGTCCACCACCGGGAGGAGTCCATTCACCGGAAGGCGTCCATCGACGAAAGGCGTCCAGTCTACCGGGGGCGTCCATTACAACGGGAGGCACCCACCACCGGGAGGCGTCCAATGGATGCCTCCGACTCCTATATAAGGAGGCCAGACCCTCCAAGCAAAGGGACTTCTCTCCCTTCCATCACTTTACCACTTATGGTTCTCTCTCTAAACCCTATATCTCTCTACATTCTCTACACTCTATCATATATCCTATTCTAACTTGGGCGTCGGAGTGTAGATCACGGGGGCCGCCCCCGACTCTCCACAGGATTCTTCCAATCTCGAGAAGATCAGAAGAGGGAGTCCGGATCAAGGTTCCACACTAATCACCCGGCACTAATCCGGGTCAAACAATAAGGGTGTGTTATGGACTTGGGATATAGCTCTGGTTTGGGAAGAGAGATGTGGTAGAGTAGAGTCTTCAATGAGTCCAATAGATAAGCTAAAGACATCTTTGTACAAATCAAGCAGGAAGTTCGGCTCTGTTGAATGGGGAAAATTAGAATTTACCCAAGTTCTAATATGCTCTGGATAAGTTCATTGAGTAAAAATGATTGATTGAGTAAAAATGATTGATTGTCATGTCAATTTCTAGTGACAGTAACACTATGTTCATTTGCAAAAGAAAAGGAGGGGAGGGGAGGGGAAGTGAAAGAAAGTTGGAATCCCAACATCTTTTCCCCTGTTTCCGAAAAAAAGAATAGTGCGGAGGGAAAGAAAAGGGACGGAAATAGTACTGTACAACCCGCCCCTCCGAAACGGAGAGAAAGCAAAGCGGGCTTAATTTTCCTTTTCTTTTTAATTCCACACCGTCTCTCTCCTCTTTTCTTTTACTTGCCTTTCTTCTTCATTCTTCTTTCTCCAGAAGGCAGAATCCAAAATCCAGCTTTCATAGATCAAAACACATGGGAAAAAAAAAACAATCAAACCCAATTGAAAGAAAAAATTCCTACCCCAGTTCACCATGCGTCACCGGTGAGGTCGACGGCGAAGAGGTTACCCTCATAATCAGGACCCCAAAAACAATAACAAAAACAATAATCGCCCATTGATTTGTTGTAGTTAACACAATTAACAAAGAAGAACAAATTTGATCCACATTACATAATTAATGTAAATAATATAAACACATAATTAAATTATTTAACTATTCTATCATCAATAAAATATAATACATATCACAATTCCCAATATACTTTTTCCCTCCCACTTTCCATTCCACTTTCCTCCATTAAACAACATTTTCTTTCCAATTCCCACTAATTTCCCTCCCTTCCAAACTTAACCTCCCCTCCAAATTTTCCTACCCTCCCCTCCTTTTCCTCCCTTCCTTCATGAACATAGTGTAAATGATATGTATAAAGTTGGGGGGTGGAAGGCCTTAAACTTGGATTGTACATTTTAACTGCTATAGCAATATGTTTTTTCTAAAGTTTTTGGCCAAGGTTGAGCTATAAAAAATGAAATAACAATTACCGAAATTAATTTGATGTCGTTTCATTTAGAACACCAGTGTTGTCAATTGCTGAAATAATTATTTGCTTAAAATAAAAATAAAAACTCGAAAAACAGTTAAGATTTAGTTCTAAAATACGGCAAAATAGAAGAAAAAATAAAACTTTTCCAATAATAGATTTTCCCCTTTTCCTAATTTCCCACCTCCCCAAAAATAAATGCGATCAGATCCATCGGCCCGACGACGAAGAACCGACCAAGGACGACCCTATGGCTTCCCTGAAACTCCGGCCGGTCAATTAAACCCGAATTCCAAGCCCAAATTCCTAACAAAACACCAGCCATCCGATAAACCTATAAATCCATTACCCAATTCTCCTTCCCACTTCGCCAATTCAGAAAGAAAAGAAAATCTGCAGGTGTTTCTCTATCTTTCAATCC